GACTGTAGTAGTATATTGTCACAGTAATGTGTAATGCAATCACACTGGTCACTTTAAGTTTGGAAAGTCATTTTCCATGTTTAAAGGGTACAGTGCCCCACTCAAATTGTCAGCAGATCTAACAATGTTTCATATGTCACTTGAAAGAAGGATGCTGTCCTTTATTTTATGGTACATATATCTTAATCTGTGTAGGAATATAAGCAGTCTATATCAGAGATACAAATAACCTTCACAATTTTCTACTGTGTTGTCAAATCTAAAGTGACCAGGATGAGATGTATTTTTGGTTGTGCTGACATCATTACACAGTTTGATTGACTTGATTATATCAAATCTATTATATTGATTTATTGATAATAATTATTGAGATGCTTGCCTTATGGTTTCAAAAGAGAAAATATTGAGTTGGCTTATTGTTTTTCTTCTCTAACCATAACCTTAGCTCAACTGTAGACTGCTATACATGTAGCTGTTAGAGTATGCCATAAGTAGTTCTGTGTTCTTGTATATATCCTATGTAGCAGGACCAATCTGGTAGGTATGTAGAAGTCACGAGTGATTGCAGGAAGATTTTGCTAGATAACTCTAGATGTATGTCTGTGTAAAATGTTGAATGTGATCATGATGTGAAATATCAGTATTCTATAATGAAACAAGATGTGTAATAAATTGACCAATTTTGTTACTCCAGTAACAAGAACATTTGATCAAAATTTTAGACACATGTATGTACATGTAAATTGGAGTCAAATGCCATAACGTGTACATGTTTGGTTACATTTAGATTTGTGTGTCTCAAGAAAGTATATTACTGCAATGTTTTCTTTCTGCAGCGAGTCATGGTAAATTTTTTGCTAGCTGATGTGCAGTACTATCTGTAAGAGATAGGGGGCACTTTGTATTAGCTGTTACCAGCCACTGTTCACAGCTGGGAGATGGACCTGCAGTCCACATTTCTGATTAAGATCAACAACAACTATCTATGGGGGGAAACTACCTTTTTTGTTCATCTCTTGGTAAAATTAGAATCCTCTCCCAGTCCAACATATTACATAAAGTATGCAGATAACCATAACACATGAAATTCATATCATCAGCATACAAAGGAAAAGGGTCTGCATAACATCTTCAATGGTGTTTGTTGTTTTATCACATTATTGAATGTAATAAAAAGTCTTAATGATATAACAACAGCATTAAATGTAGTTATGAATGATATTACCTATATTGAAAGACACCTAAGGCCATGTTGATTTGATTATATGGATGACATCCGCGCGCGCACGAATTTTCGGCCATTTCAAAAAAAAAAAAGTTTTCAACCATACTGTAAATCGTACAAAACAGTTGCAAAATGAGCAAAAATATACCATAAGTTACAAAAAAAATTAACAAAAACTATACCAATGTTGTAGAATGCCAAAATCAAACGAAAAAAGACGAAATTGTAAAGAAATGAACTTGAAGACTAGATTATTCACCAAACCATATTCTGTGCCATTTGCTCAACCCTCATGACCACGTAGATTTCATAATGAAAAGAACTTTTTTTTTTTGCAAACCTTTTTTTTTATTCGCATGTGCGCATCAGTTTTGGGGCTCCCGGAGGATGTCATCCATATAATCAAATCAACATGGCCTAAGGAAGATTGGGTCAAAGAGGAAAATGCTGCAGCCATTTAGCTTAGGTACATGTAACATTACCTTCTGCTGTGCCTCTCGTCTCTCCTCTATGATAATAGACCTTCATTTAAAAAAAAATAATAATAATAATAGACCTTCATCTTAATTCTCAGACTTGCTGCTCAGACTTACTGTCAGACTTGTGAAAGAACAATCTGGTAAAATACACATAGCAAGAACAGCCCCCATATATTTGGAAAGACAAATTTGGAAAATCTAATTAAGCTGAAGACTTGTTTTACATTTCATACTTTCCTGTCATGGTATACAGTCAGACGACTCAAACCTGTATGTGTAGTTACCTCTCTGCCTGACCAACGTGACCATTCTTGATGGTCTGTTAGATAATTTTTTCCCATTGACACATGCATTAATAAAGAATGAGGTTTATAGTAACAACCAGTAACCAGTTTTTATCGGTCCCCCTACTGTTCTTCTTGGGCAGTTTTGACTATTTCTTCTATATCTTGTGTAAGCATAGAGTTAGGTGACTTCAAATTAAGATTGTCTACATTTGAGTCTTTCCAAATTCTAAACTGACCAATAAAACTTCACCTGGTGTCAGTATTCATTAGTCTGGACTTGTTACTTAATACTAATTGCTACTTCTGTATTCTTCATACATGCTGCAGTATCAAGGGGTACATGTATAAGGTCCTAGTGTTCACAGAGCTATCTATGATATGAACATCTTAGTGTGAAATGATCTGTATCTTTCTCATAAAGCTCAGCATACTTTTCAAGTGATGTCAGATTGGATGGATCTTTTCAAATGGTTGCCTTACTCTTTTCAGTTGAATTCAATTTAACCTTGCTGCTGTATTAGCCACTTTGAGGCATATTGTGATCTGACATTAGAGAGGATGGATTGGGTTAAGACATTGAAGTGGCTACATATTGATGCATCACACACAGTTTTCATAGATTTATTGCCATTGTCAGGTTGCAGAGGCCTGAATTGTGTCATAAGTTTTGGTGTAAAAAGCCACAGAAGCAGATTGAGAATATGCAGTATAATTAACTGCAAATCATACTGATGACTCTCCATCCATCTTTGCCCAGGAGCATAAAAGTTGGAACAAGACTATAACGCCTTAATTAAAGTCAAGACAAATTGAGTCAATTCCTCATGAAACAGAGTGCCACCTGCACCCTTAACGTGACATGGTGTGACTGCATGATGAGGGTCTGCCCTACTGTACTGCTGACCTACAGAACTGTTCACCCTATAACTGCACTTATGGGAACATAACAGGTGAGCAGAGCCATTGGTCTCCTGTTGTCCATATTTGTAAGTAACAATTCACAGGACCTTGTCCCATTGGCTGACATTGCAATGTTTGACCATGAAGGGCTGCCTGTATTTTGTGAGGTGAAGCTTTGGTAATACAGGAGATAGCATAAACAATATCAACCAATTGATACAATTGAAAATACATGTAAAAGGAAACTGCCATGGCATTCTAAATGTAAGGAGTCTTTTATTAACATAACTGACTTCTCTTGATGTGTCATTAACAGCTGCCCAGATAGAACTGATGAAAAAGGAATACTAGTACATTGCAACCAAAAATACACATCCTGACGAAATTATGAGTTAGTACATTTGTATATTCTTTTTATACCTGAATGTGTTGAAGATTTTGTGAATGAGAGCAGATCAGTGCACCTGACTTGTAATCCTATACATCATTGTTTGTTTAGTGATGGAGCCATATATCCATCAGCTGACACAACAAACACCTGGCTGCACTGCCAAGTAACCAAGGTATGAAGCCAAACACTTTCTCAGAACTTTCACTCTGCAGAGCAACTAACACATGTTTATTGGGATTGTCTACAATAGTGATGAGATTGCTGAAGGCTGGGATGAAGTGTTGATGTATAGTCCCTCCATCAACACCACAGGTGCTCAAGCATAAGAAGAGGCTGTACATGGGGGTTTCCAGAGAACAATAGATTTGAAAGGAAATAGTCCCTCAAGTTCTTCAAATGACTCAAATGGGGTTTCTGTAGAAAATGGAGTACCTCAAACCAAGGACGTTCTTGTGTTGAACGTCCTTGCTCAAACTGCATCCCAAATGCCAATGTTTTACAACAATCTAATTCTTTAGAACATGATCTTTACTTAGTAACTGCATTATGCCCTTTTTTGGTTGACTTTTGAAATTTCAGAGGACATTCTACTTCTAGTCACAAGGGTTAGCCAAGGATGAAAGCTCCTTGATAGATGTCATTTTACACATTTTTGCATTTGTTAACTGGGAAATTTTTGCTAAAGATCAATGCTAATGGTGTCACATGACATCTCCTTCAATATAACGTTATAAACATAAGTTAATGTTAACATTAACATTAGTGAGCCATAGTTTTAACATGGAGGTAGAAAAAACTCTTCTCATCTCTAACTGTTACCTCCAAAGGCTCAACATGAACCTAACATGAAATGAAGATGTCACAATATTTCATAATGAGGGCTTAATTTGGGCAGCATTTGAGTCTCTTTTCTCAATAGACTAAACGAAAAAGTTGAACCATTACAGCAGTGGCTGATTCCAGGGCAACTTTGAGACATAGTTCTGATTAGTTAGTACTTGCTAAAGAAATAAATTGTTGTTCTACCGTAATCTACATACAGACCCTTCAAAGCTTCGGTTGATGCCCATGACGTCACCTCACCCAAACGCCCAATCAGAACGCGTCATTGGAAAGGAGTACAGAACGCAGCCAAACGCAACTGTGCAAATTTATATACATTGATAATGTCATATTTTCTAAGATATCGATAAAAAATTGCATTTCTTCGTTTTTTCAGCAATTAGCCTTCACTGGTTACTGTGATATTTTATTTGTTGACCAGGAGTCGCTACAGAGTCCTCCAAAGGGGAGTACAGGGCACCGGTGCGGTTTGCACACGTCACGTTCGCCCTTGGCATGAACAAGAACAAGGAGGCCATCTTGGGCTGGGGTTGTCTCGATACCTCTCGTTAAATGTACAAATCCTCCGTTACTGAGGTTCCAGGTGAAAATCAAGGACAAACAGAGTGGAGAGGATCTATCTGTGTTGCTCATATGAGGACTTTCAATCCCGTGGACGTGCGGTGGATCTGAAAGATCTCGGTTGAATATACCGTGCAGTTTACCGCACAGGAGGCCAGGGAAGTCCGCCCGCCGTGGTGGCCCGTTGTGCTAGGCAAACGCTGTCAACCGGCCTCGTCTGATTATCGTGCCAATTGGTTCGGAAAGTTAGCCGCGGAATTCCTCCGAAGTGTACAAACTCATCTGCAGAAAGATATGCATCTTGGGTGGGGGATTCTGTAGTGATTGGCCAACTTTCCAGCGCCCCTCCACCCGTTGTTTTGCTATTTTTGTCAGAGTGAAACGAAGTCGATAGAAATTGTGCTGAATCCAAGATGTCTGGAGGAAGAGCACCACTGCCGACGGTAAACGAACAGGAAAATGTAAGTCCACCTTATTACTAACTTTTTCTACCCATTCCATTGTGATTCTGTATTATGACGCTTTAAGGTTGTCGTCAGGACCTTGGTTGGCGAGTGGATTTTATGTGTGAGACAGAGTGGCAGGAAGCAGCCATGTTTATTTGCTGCCTACAGGGCGAGACTGACCCGCCGGAGAGCACCAGGCAGCTTCACAGAAGCCGGAACGAGGAGCATCCTCACATCGGCAAGTACAGGCTGCTCAAGACCATAGGCAAGGCAACTTCGCCAAAGTCAAGCTAGCCAGACATGTCCCCACAGGGAAAGAGGTGAGTTTCATACCCGCGAGGTGTCTAACGGAAGTTCAGGGTCTCACAATGTGCCGGCTTTTACTGGGGTTGGTTTTGCCCTGGGGGCCCCCAGCCTATCCGGATAAAAAAATGACTATTAGGATCCCCCTCCCCCACAAAAACTCGTAATAGCATAACCATATATAGTATTTAAGGGGTACAGAACAGAAGTGACTTCATTCTTGTCGTAATAATATATATTTGAAAGGTTTTGTGAGAAGTGGTGAAGTGGGAAATGATGTAGTGAAGTGATGTGTGAAGTACTTGGCAGTGGGTCACACAGGACTCACCACCCATTCAGGTTCAACTAAACCACAGTCTCACTCAGGACTGAACATTTGTAGCCATGGTCGTCAGTGACCAGGGGACGGAAACATGACCCAGAGGCACATATTTGGAGAGCAAAGTTGAGATGATGAGGCCATGAGCATGAGGGCAATCAGATGTAGCAGTAATGAGATTGACTGAATGTGGTTTGGGTGCTAATTATACTGTGGGTCATCCCCACACTCACATACTGACTCATGTTGGAGAAATGTGCAGGGGGTGAAAATTGTTACAAACTTTGTGTCATTGATGATGTAATACCAGGGTATCATTTCCAATAGATGAAGGTTTATGGCTCATGGCTCATTATGTGGGTACTAAATTCTGTAACTTGGATTTGTAACAAATTGAGAACATATTGGATGAAGGACTGTTGGATATGAATTTTGATATTCACTGAAAGATTGTAGTGGATTCATGTCATTGCTCTCAAGAACAAAATGTGGTCCCCCTCATGGCTATGGACATTGCCATATCCATGCCACAGTTGTTTCCACAGTTTTGTATGTATGATGCAGAGAAAAGTGATTGAATAAAGGCTAATCTGGATTAATCTGCAAGACTGGGCACTACTGACCTTTGGTACTGAACAGCAATGAACTGTGCTGCTCATATCGACCCAGTACTGCAGTTCTATGGCAAGTAATTCCTGGGGAAAAAAAAAACATGGCAGTGATGACACAAATTGAGACAGAACTTATTTGGACTGATATGTAGATATGACAGTAGAGCTGTTCATAACTGTTTTTCATCAAGGCTCATTAACAGAAGGGCATTTTTTATTAAAGACAAAAAAGGCCAGTTGATGTTTAACTCATAGGTTATGTTGAACTTCATATATGAGTGTACAAAGGTGGGAAGAGAGAGTTGTCCAGACTGACCCCTGCCTTCTGTGTTTGTCTTTGCAGGTTGCAATCAAGATCATAGATAAGACACAGTTGAATCCTTCCAGCTTGCAAAAGGTGAGTTGCGCATGTCTACTAAAGTTAAATAAATTAATACCCGCCCTCCTGATGTTCATGGTTTATAATTTGTTTGTTTCAATGGGGCCTGTGTACACCAGGGCTGGTTGTTGCACTACATTCAGAAACGCCCAGTTTCTTACTCTATACTGCATGATATGAAGGAAGGCTTTTTGTCTGTTTATCACTGGGAGCGGCCGTGTGTATTAGAGTATAACTTACATTGTAAGTGTCTGAAAATAGACACAAGTGTGCACAAAAGCATTAAGCTGTTAAAAGATAGGTAGGACAATGAGTAAAGGTTGCTGGAGTTGTAATTATTAACAGGATTGATTACCCAAATAAGTTGCATTAACCAAGCACAGATCTCGTTTATTTGACTCAGGTGCATGTTGTTTGTTAGCTTTTTCATGTCAGAAGTCTAACATCTGTGGATTTGTAAGTTATGTTGGCAGCGAGAAGGATGGCCTATGGTAATGAGGCATGGCAACCAGTCCATCCTGCCAGGTCAAAATTCAGCAGTTCTGTTTGTCAGTGGAGCTCAAGTTTGGCTCCCCTGTCAGGGTTAGAGACTGAGCAGTCAGCAGTTTACCTTGGGGAACAGTGGTTCACTTGTTACATTTCACTTTTGTCTGGACACAAAGAGTTTGCCAAACAGGGTCAGTTGTGCTTTACACCACAAGAGTGAGGTGTCCAATGTAGCTCATCATAGTTACGCCTTGCTACCAAGCAAAGATTATTATATTAGAGCAGTTAAAGATTGTGCTGGACATGTTTACTAGACAGATGAAACTGAAAACATGTCCAATGGAAGTCTGTAGGCGTGGAGAAAACTGCAGCATGAGTAATCATCAGACAAACAAGAAGGAAGCCCAGACGCGGGCTAGACCTTAGAACAATACCCTGCATTTTCCTTATAAGGAAGTTGGGTTCTGGCAGTGTCCAGTGCCTGATCAAGGTTTAGCTACAAAAAACATAGGGCCGAAGCCTGCTCCTTTCTTCCCCAGCTACCTCTAATTTGTACCTCTGTAGATGTAATGACTTATTTTACATCAGGTACAGGTATTGATTAGTAGGGTAAAAAGGGAACATTATGTAGGAACATGTCTACAGGCTCCAGAGTGACTGTGGTTGGGAGAGGGTATGCACTAAGCAGTTTACATAGTCCTACAATAACAATAGGAACTCATAGGGGTCAGTAAACACAGTAGCCTACTGCCATAGTGTTCAGTCAGTTAATACTAGATAAATATTGCCAACAGAATGTGGCTGCCAGGTGTACATCTTAAAAGATAAGAGTTATGTTTGGAACAGTGTCCTATACTATAGTCATAGTTTTTGTGAATTTGATTTCCTGGAGTCCCTTACTTACACCAAGGAGCTTAGAATCAAGGCCTCCTTGGTTACACATAAGTATCTCTGCCACAAAAATAGTTACCAAGTTATGACCAGTACTTTGAGTTTGACATAATTAAGTGTAGCCTCCTGTATACAATTAGCACAACATGGTGTTAGACAATCCCATGCTTTTCCAGCTTGACCAGATGAGAATACAAAACTACTGTTTAGAATACTGTTTTTCAGGGTGAGCATAAATGATTTTGAATTAAACCATGGTGGGAAGGGGACTGTAGAATGCTGTTTCTTCACATCATTTTGTGTCTATCAGGTAATGCCTGAAAACAATGCTAGATAAAGATAGCATGCCGCACCAGTTATTGTCTCTTTTAAAGAAAAATGTTTTATAGATTGTTGAAAACCTTTTGGTCAATTTTTGACAAATGTGGGGTTTTTATAATGCAGTCCAAATTAATCAACTGCTTGCCTTGGACAAAATCTTTCTTTCGAATACTAGGCCATTATTGCGCCGTCCCTGTTGCACATGATCTTTCCCAATGCCTGGCATGTAAGCCACTCAAGCAGGTGGTGCTAGGACTGGTACCGCACCATGGTGGGCTGGCTTAGCGGCATGTCCAGCCATTGGTCTGTCCCCTCAGCCTCCCCTGGGTCTGGTATTCTGCCGTTAAACCGCTGTTAGAGCGTGAGGTACAACAAAGACTGTCAGGACAAGGCGAAGCGATGAGGTCACCCTTCCTAGAGTTACAAGATCCTGGTCTTGTGAGCTTGGATATGGTAGATTCTGCTTGGACTTGTTGACAGTAAGGGGAGGGAGTTGATCAATATCTCCAGTACAAATATCCAACCTTGAATCACGTTACCAGGAGGTTGTAGCTGTTGCCTATTCTAGCAATACCTGCTACTGTAGTTGGGATGGTATTAAAGTCTCATGTTTCATATCTTTCACATGTTTAAACTGGGAAGGTTGTTCATTAGTTAAATCTTTAAGCATCTAAACACAACTAAGTGTTGACTGTGGATCGGTTTCTTTAGCCAACAAATATGGCTGGATACTGATTACAAGTTCTAAGTTACCCTTTGAACCAGTTAGTGACCTGATTATGATGTTCAAAGTTCAGTGTTGGTTACTTGGAAAACAAACCCATGCGCTTGCAGACCTTTACCACAGCAGCTAGAGCTTCACTCAGAGTCAGATCTTTCTAAAAAAATTAGCCAAATGTCCACAGTGCTGTTATCCTTGCAACATACATTTGCATACAGAGATGGAAGTACTGTACCATAATGGGGGTATGAATTTGTTTTAACTACTGTATCCTGAGGCCCCATGATGTATTGTTTCAATGCAGGTAAGTGTAAATCACAAGTCAGATGTTCATGCAAAAGGAATGAAGTCAGCAATTTTCTACCAAGAATAATCACTGAGGCAGTAAATGTAGTATGAGCACCACTTAAAGAGGGAAATTGGACAGTATTGGCATCCACAGTAAGAGGGGATACATTTCTTACACTATATATTATACTATTATTGTTTTATGTTGGGACTTACCAAACAAAATATTTGGCAACTTGCATGTTGATATGCAACACATTTTGCAGGAATTGTTAGAAGTACATGTAGCTGCTGTTACTGGTCAGATTATATCTCATTTGCATTCTCATGGCATCCTTTGGTTGTAGCTGCTCTCATTGGTCAGATTTATCTCTTGCTTGTGCCAAGATCATGTAGCCAACTTCACAACATGTCAGATTTCAGATGTCTTTAAACCACGGGGTAGTAATGAAGTTGCAAACAACAGTCAAAGATAAACTACATTTTAAAATTTTTTTTCACAGAATATTTAAATTGAGAGACTGCCAAGTAGAAGCCTACCTTTGTTGAATACTCAGAACAGGCTGGTCGAAGAGCAAATAATGCAGATCAATGACCACACGTTAACATTGGATGCACACATTGTTTGAACAGGATTATTCTGTCTTCCTCATTACAATTTGATGTTTTGGGAATTAGACGCAAATGACGGCTGAGAAATGAAGTATTGATCTACAGTGTATATTGTCCCAGGAAGCATTGGCAACTGTCTACCTCCATACCTGGCTAGGGTTCTAAATACCCACCTGCAACCTGCAATTTTCACAACATATGTCTAGGGTGCAGGATTGCAGACTTTCACACAGGCCTATGCTAACATCCTCAAATATAATGATGAATGAGGAAGTAGAAACATCTGCAACTTGTAGTGGTTATCCAATGACACAAACAAACAGGCTGGTATTACTGTAATCTTTTTAAGATAACTATAGTATTGTATGTATCAAAGAATGATGTTGAAGAAGATTCACTCCATTCTCATCAGACTAGAGTAGAGAATAAGAAAATTCTTCCTGTGGAATTCTGTCCCATGACTATCCTTTGAGGTCTCCCCATTATGCTAGTCTTTTCATGCAGGAGTCTATAATGATGGTGACTTAAAAAGGTCATCAGACTACCTGGGATCATTCCTAAAGCTGTCAGACAGATGGTGCAGGTCTGGCAATAAACCTCCACCATCGTTAGGCTGCACAGATATCATTTTTATGGATCACATCTGTGTGTTGGATGTTTTTGCCCGTTTCCCTCCCCTCCCTATGGAACATCTTGATCCTGTTGTCTAACAGACAGTAATGAAATTTGTTCTATAACTTATGTGGACGTCAGCACATTGTGTATAACATCTTTTAACATGTCCCAAAATGAGCATAAGATTTTTTGTGCCTGCTTTTAGCAGAATTAGGTTTATGGAGTATGTCTATGTGATTCATTGAATTGAGCTGGCATGGCCTTATCAAGTGACAAATACTGTCTGCGAGGAGTCAGCTGACATTAAAGCTAGCTCTTGGGCTCAGGCCTTAATTTCAGTTTTTCATGCTAATGTTGAAGGTAACATTGTGAGGTTGAAGATAGGTAACATTTTTGAAAGCTTCCTCCTACTCTCGGTTTTCTGACATGTTTTTTGGTAAGATAATTGAGATACCTAATCACAAACTGTATTATCAAGATTTTGACTTAAGTGCAAAATGTCATAAATTTTCTGGATATAGTCATAGATTAGTGCAGGACACATTGAAACAACTGAAACTAGAAATGACAAGAAGAAATGACCGAAACTACAAATGACAAGAAGTGATGTCACATGATGATTTTTTTTATACATATTCATGTATTACTATCAATAACCATGGATGTCTACAGATTAGTTTGAGAATTTTTTATAAACAACATCAAAGTTCAAACTTGTTCTAACATGATGGCCTGCTTAGTTACAGTTCTCCCATCTCCTAAGCAGCCATCTCTGCTATCTCTCTACACAGGTGGTCAGGTCAGAGATAGGAGCCTCCTGATAAAAAAGTCCACAGTATGTGCCATATGGCCCCAAAGGCCTACTGCATCAGGAAAAACTTATTGAGCCTAGGGAAAGATGCAGAGTTACTTCTGTACTGTACTGATGGATGTTGGGTCAGTGCTGGCTTAAAACCCCATTCCTCAAGGGGAGATTATGTGTTCCTAGACGTCATAGCAGAATGAATAGAAGTAGCCTGTGCATATTAATGGTTTGTGTGACTTACACGCTAATGTACAGGTTGTGCATCGTAAAGTTGAACCA